TTTTAGCTTGTCTCCAAATATTTTTCACCAACTGTACTTTATTAGAGTTGCCTATCTTAACCATTATGTAACATGCGCCTATGCCCTAATGACATCAAGAAATCAGGCGTCATATGAAGAAGTTTTTAGGGCAATTAAAGATAAGGCGCAAGAACACAACATAATTTTGGCTCCAACCACTGTTATGTTAGACTTCGAAATTGCCCCCAGACGTGCCTTACATGATATCTTCGGTGCAAACGTAGAAGTTGTAGGATGTTTTTTCCATTTGACACAGTCAACATGGAGAAAGGTATAGTTGCATGCTTTGTTAACTATTTTTAATCAATTGTCATTTTGCCTGTTTGAATGAAATTTTGCTATGGATTTTTTATTTTTTATTTATTTGTTATCTTAAATTCAGATAGCAGAGCTAGGTCTAACAACCATTTACAAAGAGAGGGATGATGTTAGACATTTTGTTGGCATGCTAGATGGCATTGCTTTCTTGCCAATAAACCGTTTGTATGATGCCCTCCAACACCTAGAAAGGAATATTCCAGATGTACCCGGACTAGAAAATCTTTTCATTTATTTCGATAAAACATATGGTAGAGGGCCCTTCAGGAACAACAACAACAATAATAATATCAACCAAATTAGGTTGATCCGAATGCCTGCTCTATTTCCGCCCGAAACATGGAACGTTTTTACGATAACATTAAATGGTCATGAAAGAACTAATAACGTTTGTGAAGGTTGGAATAATAGTTTCCACAATTTAATTGGCCATTTTAATCCATCGGTATGGACTTTAATCAGTGCCATCAAAAAAGATCAAACATCTGCTCTAACATCTATTGGTCAAATTGACCGAGGAATTCAAATAAATAAGCCGAAAAAACGACAGTCAAAATATTTCCAAGAAAGAATGGAACGATTGTGCAAAGACGTTAGAGATGGCCGAAGATCTATATTGGAGGCTTTAAGAGCCATAGGACACTGTATTGTATTTGTCATTGACCTCTAAACATAATTTTTAAAATGTTTTTGAAGGTATTTTCGTTGAATAAATTTTTTTTTTAAGACTTTTTTCTTGAAGACTTTTTTTTCTTGAAGACTTTTTTTCTTGAAGACATTTTTTCTTGAAGACGTTTTTTCTTGAAGACATTTTTTCTTGAAGACATTTTTTCTTGAAGACTTTTTTCCGAAGATATTTTTTCTAAAGACTTTTTTTCCTGAAGACTTTTTTTCAGGGATTCGTTCAGAAAAGAGTAACCAAATTGTTGTATGAATGTCGTGGTATGAAATACATTGAAAGGCTGAGGTTTTTAAATTTATCAAACACTAACGTTTTGTAGAATCAGAGGAGATTTGATTACTTTGTATAATATTTTGAATGATAACTTGAATAGCAATTTATATCCAAATTTAAAATTATATATAGATTCGATAACTAAAGGACACGATAAAAAGTTAGAACGAAATAAGGTTAGAACAAACATGAGTAAATATGCTTTTGTTAACAGAAATATACCCATATGGAATTCTTTACCACAAGAAATTGTGGGTGCATAATCTATAAATCAATTTAAAATTCTGTTTGACAAGTTCACTATTGAGTTTGAGGAGAGGTACGAATGGCGTACAAATTATCCTGTTTGATTGATATTTGGGTTGGCATGTGAGTATGAGTGTGGATATTATTATGTGGATGCTGTTCTTTGTATGTTGTGTTATTATGTAGATAGTTCTGGTCCTTTATCTTGATGTTGCGATGAATAATGTATCCACATAGGAACCGGGAACTAGCGGATCACTGATGTGGTGCTCGCGATCAAACTCGATTATCGTAAAACGAATGTATAGTGGTGACGAATTAAATTGATGACTTACGCGACTTAGTTATTATGTTAGTTAGTTATATTATATTTCAGCGAATTAAACACAAACTTACCCATTTTAGTTTTACAGTTCTTTTTCCAAAACAAGGTGATATATAAAATAAATGCTACGAATAAAATCTATTTGTATGTCTTGAGTCCTATCTGTTGCGTGAGTTATGTTGTGTCCTTCCCGTCTTGTTCCGTCTTTCGAGTAGACTCGTGTATGTCTTATGTTCTTCTTCCTGTCTCGTCTCGTCCGTCGTGTAGTTCCGTGTATGTCTTCTGTAGTTTCTTCCCCCCCCCCCCCTGCTTAATGCTGCATCTCCTTATATAGGAGAAGGTGCCTGCGCGTTGGCGTTTTAGTTTCACATGCGAAAATGGTTGCATATGGATCTAATTACCTCGTCTGTAATACTTTGCATACCAGTCGTGATGAATTGCGGTCAAGTGTGTCTTTCTCTTATTTAATATTTCTCTGTTTGTGGTTTCGTCTTTTTGTGTGTATGCATTTTGCTGCGTGAATATATTCCCTCTGTGGAACAATAAATACGTCAGTCGTGTTTTATGTGTTTTAGTCTTTGTATGTACTTATGTGTGTGTGTGTTGATTGATTTACATGATAATATGCCTAAGACGTGTGAGTATGTCAGTGTTTTACTTTTATTATTACTTGAACAATTTATGCTTTCATTTAATCAACTAATTTTGGAGATTTGGGCTTATGGTTTATGTTATGCTACTCCTCTACTCTTACTTTCAGGGTACCTCAGGCTATCCTTGGCCCTCTTCTATTTATACTCTATACCTTTGAACTACCTCGTATTATTAATAACTTTTCTTTCTCTAGTCAACTATATGATGATGATTCTTATATTTAAACTTGTTTTCCTCCATCTAATCTCAATAGTGTTCTTCATAATCTATCTCTATGTCTTTTTTCAATTATCGCTTCGTCTGACTTTATGTGTCTTAAACTTAATCCTTCTAAGTTTGAATTAATTTGTTTTAATAAATCTAAACACTTTATTACTATTTCTTCTATTATCTTACCTGATTTTAAAACTCTTGATGTCTCTCACAAGTTTTGTAGTCCAAGCTTTATCTTTGATTCTAGGATGTCTCTTTCTTCTCAAATTAATAGTTTTGCTTTTTCTTGACGATCCTACTATTCTCCTTCTTGTTACTTTGTTAGTTTTATCTAGAATGGATTATTGTATTTCGCTCTACTATAGTCTTCTGATTTTATACTTAACCCTTTAAGTAAAGCTTTTAACTCTGCTGCTCGTCTGGTTGCTCGTGCACATATCTTTTCTCATATATCTCCATATTTTGTTCTCTTGCACTGGCTATTTATAAAATATAGGATAATTTTTAAAATTTGCACATTTATGTTTAAGTTTCAATCTAAATTATTTCCAAAATAATTATCAGATATATCAATTGAACCTAAACGCTTATAGTATTGTCCCGTCTTCATCTCTATGAACAATACCATATAACTACACTGATGATGGCAGTTGATGCCGAAAAGAGCTTTTCTGTAGTAATAACGTTATTAGTATAGTTTTGTCAAAAATGTCAAATAATAAAAGTTTTTTATTTAATCTTATTAAACTTCATAAAGACGATAAAGTCACGTTAGAAAAATTGAAAAACTCAACTACAAGTTGAATAATGCCAAAAACGCAGTAATCTTTATAAATAATAATATTTATGATAGTCTAAACCCAATATATATATATATATATAAATATATAACTAAAGCCAAACAGGCTGTGATTTTCATCAATAATTATATATATATATATATATATATACATATAAATAAATATATATATATATAAATATATATATAAATATATATATATATATATATATATATATATATATATATATATATATATATATATGGTAGAATGACAGTGTACAAAATGCAA